AGAGAGAGAGAGAGAGAGAGAGAGAGAGAGAGAGAGAGAAAGAATCAGAGCCAATATCCCAGAAAGATTGAATGGTACATTTTCTCTTCCTGGTGTTCCAATCTTATTTGTCCAGGCTAGATATGAGTAATATCTAGGGTTTATATGGTGCTCGGAGACCTTACCCATCACCTCTTTAATTTCCCATTACTGTGATCCAATTGCTCCTGGCCCTCTCTCTCCTCTCCCCGCTGCCACAGAGAATATGCTGCTCAGGCAAAAAACCCTGAGTAAAGTTGGCTTTCTTTGAACACCCTCTTCCAAAAAGAGTTGGAATCCCAACCAGTCACTTTGATGGGCTTCTTCTTTTTCCCTTATTTTTAGTGTGAGCATATCCATTTCTGCACAGAAGAATCGGAATATTACTCAGTTTGGCATAGATGGTACATGTGGCTAGAAAAGAGAGATAAGAATTAATAAAGTTGACCATATAAGAAGAATCCTCAAGAGAGTGATACGCAGATAGGTAGATAGATAAAATAGATAAGGATAGATAATAAATAAGAAATGTAAATAAAGACAAAACTATTAAGGGTATGTATGAATAGATGATGCAAATGCTGTTGAAAATATAGTTACGATTTGTACTGGTGGAAAACAATAAAAATTATTTGGGGGGAAAAAAGTTTGATGGGCTATCGGGAATAGGATGATGCTAAGGAACAGAACACAAAAGCATCATTCACGCACTAGCAACTCACAATGCCTTTATAATATCACCGACCCAGATATAAAGCCTGTTTGTGTTACTGTTATTTTGACAAGACATTGGTTGGATGACTCTAAAACAGGGGTCCCCAACCCCCAGTCTGCAGAAACCGGGCAGTGCAAACAAGTGAAGCCCCATCCATGGGGTGCAGGCAGCACACGAAACCACGCCCCCCTCCGGTCTGTGGGAAAACCTCTCTTCACAGAACCTGTCCCTGGTGTCCAAAAAGTTGGGGACCACCACTGCTCTAAAAGATGCTACAGGTTGTAGTGCAGAGATTACTATGGTCTTTCCTTGCAAGGTCTTAGGTTCCTGCAGTGATTCAAATTTACTGTCTCCACTACTAACAGAAGAAACTGCTAAGAGCAAGGAAACAACACTTTGATCGACACCATTGAAAAAATATAATTATTACTATTATTATTACCTTTATTGTCAGTGCTCCAGAGGAGACGGGAGGCAGAAGACAGGTGGACCTTGCCCCCATCGGGGCTGCAGCCCTCAAGAAGGGAAGGCCAGGGACAGCCGGACCATGGCCGGAATCCCCTCCGTCTCTGCTCCCCTCCTGGTTGCTGGAGCCAGGAGGTTCTGTACCATTTACATGTGTACAATGAGAAGAGCCCTAATCTTGCCTTGTGACAGGATTTAATGGGACAAAGTTAAAGACCCTCTTCTCCCAACACCCCCAAACCTGAATGTCATTCTTGGCAATCTTAACTGGATAAGCTAGACAGCCCATCCCTCACATGAAGACCCCACACAACCCTCCTACTGGCTGCTTAGGGCAGAACAAGGTGGTACACAGATGAGCGGCGGACATTTTGTCTTTGCCATGGGGTATATTGTCTTCTCCTGACCCAGAGGTGGGCGACGTGTCAGATCTGCTCCCACTTTCCAAGCATGTGCTGCTGCTCCCCACCTTCTAGCAGTGGCTATTTCATTGGGACTCATGGCAGAGCTGGCTGCGGGGCACAAAAAATGGTTTCTGGCTCAGGAAATTGGCCATTGTTTTGTACTGGTTTCATTTTTTGTGCTCTGAGCATCAAATGGCGCTGTTCCTGGGACATCAAGGAGAGCGAGGCACTTCCCTGATAAGAAAGCTGTGGGAGAAAGCAAGAAGACCAAACAGATAGAAAGGCAACAGATTTTAAAAAAGAAAGAAAGAAGGAAAGAAGGAAGGAAGCCAAATCACCCCCAAACCCTGCCCCAAAGTTTGGAAAGCCAGCTCAGAGCATCCCCAGTCAATGTCTTAGCAAGCAAGTAAATGAAAAGGTGAGAAATGGACAGGGAGCAACAGGAATGGAGAGATGCCAAGAGCAGTTGCGGAAACTGTTTCTTTACCCAGAAACAGGAAATCATTTATCACACGAACTGATTGCCATTGAGGCTAAGTTGTTCAGGGGAGCAACAAGTTAATGCTTCTTCCACTATCATGTATCGCTTTCCTTAACCTGTCCCTCATCATATATATATATATATCTCTGAGGAAAAAGCTGTAGCTGCTGCCCCTAGGCAGAATTGTTTGGGTGTCACACCTACAATCCTTTTTAATGGGTTTGGGATTTGCTTTTTATTGATTGGATCAAGGCATGCTGCTCATAGATAAAGACTCCAGAACGGCTGCCGGTCTGACTCTTCTCATTCAGAACTGGGAGCCGCACTGCCAAATATAGGAAGCTCTAACCTGGAAACCAAATCGAAGGCTTCTTCCCTGCAAGTCCAGAAATTATTAAAGTCCCCCAGGGGAACCAGAAGTCTGCTAAAAGAATGCAGCAACCCTCGTCCTCGCGATGATGCCTATCAGGATCTACCCATTAGTTTGGCTCAAAAAATTGCACACTGTGAAGGAAGCTATGCACATGCAGAAACTCCCCAAATTATCTGTACAGTAATACTTCAGCCCAGGGGAAACAATAGCATTATCCTTTATGTTTGTATAAAGTACTTAAGGGGTACAGGGAAGGAGCAGTGGTGGATTCAATTTTTTTTACTACCGGTTCTGTGGGCATGGCTTGGTGGGCGTGGCAGGGGAAGTTTACTGCAAAATCCCCATTCCCTCCCCACCCCACTAATCTGCTTTCCAACTCCATTCTCCTGTGCAGGGCAACAAAAGGAGACCCAGCTGATCAGCTGGGACTCAGGAGGCAGAGAATAGATGGGGGCAGGGCCAGTCAGAGGTGGTACTGGCCGGTTCTCCAAACTACTCAAAATTTCTGCTACCGGTTCTCCAGAACTGGTCAGAACCTGCTGAAGACCACCTCTGGGAAGGAGGCATGAAAAACATCTCTCCCAAATACTTGTTGGCACCCCCCAGACTATGGTTTCCCTTGTTCCTTTGAGGATATTTCAGAATGAGATGCTGCAAAGGGCAGAAGGGTTTCTTCTTACTGGCTTTCTCTAAGATGGCACCTTCTCGCACATTGCAATCCTTAGAATTGCAATCCCCATCAGTCCTCAACCATTTGAAAAGGTTCCAAAAGAGAAAAAGCTGCTTTGGGCAATTTTTAGGAATGCTGAAAATCCCCCGTCAGAACATGCTCTTCATACATATGAAGGGATGAGCAGGATCTCCTTCTAAGTTCTGCTAGATGGCAAGTGCAACGGAACGACCATGATTGAACTAACGCCATAAAAACAAGCAGACTGAGCTGTAGCAACAAATATCCAAGAGTTAAGAACTAGATTAAAAATGTTAGTGCAGTTCTAGCCTCTTTTCTTTTCCGGTTGAACATTTTTATTGAGTTATATGATAAAATAAAATACAAAATACAAAAGTAAATAGGAAAGCAATGGGGAGGAAGAGGGGGAAGAGAATTGAGGAAAGATTAGGAAAAGGAAAAAGAAGCATTGACTTCCGACTCTCTCTGTTGCAGTAAAATAAGACATTAACATCAAATCACAACTTTTTTGTTTTTTCATAATAATATAAGCTAGCCATTTCTATAAGGATCTATCAATGTAACCCAGGGTGTCAAACTTGATTTCATTGAGGGTTGCATTAGGGTTGTGTTTGACCTTGGGGGTGTGTGGCCAGGGGGGCGTGGTCAGCTTGATGTCACTCATGTCGGGGGCACCTGTGGTTGCCCAAGCGCTCAGCCAGCGAAAACAGGCTCTTGAGCTCCGTTTTTGGCTGCCACGGCCTCCTGCAACCCTCTGCCAGTGAAAAAGGAGCTCCATTTTCACTGGCAGAGGGTATTGTGGTTCGCCGGCAGCCTGTGCAGACATCAGCAGAATCGGACAGTGGGGAAGAATGGGGACCAGTCCAGGAGTCTGGAGAGGACTTGGACGAGGGTCCTGCATCTGATACAGAGATGAGGCCAGGACCATCTGGGAGTGGGGTATTGACTCCGGAGCCTCCAGAGTCTGGCAGCAGCGAGGCAGAGGAACAAGGGGAGATTGTTCCCAGTGTGCATCCGCGCAGAGCTGCTAGAAGGCAAGAACAGCTGAGAAAAAAGGGCCGACTCAGGAGTAAGGCTTGGAGGTGATTGCCCCTCCCCTAAGGTATAAAGAAGGTGCAAAGGTAGAGAAACCTTTGCAGGAAGCAAAGTCATTCACTCTGTTTGAATTAAACCTTGAAGCTCTGTGTGGACTTTGTACTTCAGTTGGTTTTTTACAGTTAATTTGGCACTTTAGCTGTTGGCAGCAATTCAAAGGAGAGAAAGGTGGGTGCTTATCTCGAGGGACTGTTTGGGACTCATTATGGGCTGGGAATGCAAATAATTCCCAGCATTGAAATAAAACAAGAGTTGTTTGGACTAAGTGTGTGCTTAATTACGGTCTCAGGAAGCCTTGGTCAGAACAGAAGGTTGCAGGAGGATGTGGCAGCTGAAAACTGAGCTCTGGAGCCCATTTTCGCTGGCAGAAGCACCGGATCTGGCCCCCTGGGCCTTGAGTTTGACACCCCTGGTCTAATCATTAAAACCCAAAATCAAAGTTTCATTCTTTTCCACTTCAAGCGCAAAGTTCAGACACAGTAGGGCAGTCCTAACCTTTGACTGAAACTGTTCTTATTCCAACCCTCCTTCCTTCCAGATTTCAGACTTACGGATAATTAGGATAGATGGGCGTGCAGACTCTCTTACGAGTTCTTTTAGGTTCAGGTCCACAGACTGGCTCACAAAGACCCCAAGGACTCCAAACTGACCAGGTCCCCGTCACTGAGAAGAAACACACCAATCAAACCAACAGGCTTCATCAGGGGGCAGCCCTCACCACTGCCCTTTATCTAATATAGGACCATGATTGACATCTCAGGCTGGGCCCAGAAAGACATGAGTGGGAATCCCTGCCTTATCATAGAGTTCAGGCATGTGTAACTTGATTACTATATTAAGCAACTTTTTGGCTTTCCATTAATCAACCAGATGAGTTATGTTTGCCTGATAAAGTAAGCCTCCCATAAACAATCTAACCCAGTTTAAACTAACCAAACACATTGAATGACTCTCCTAGGTTTGTAAGTAAACTAGCTAAGGGCATCATGTAAACATAGCCACTCAAAAACTTTAAGCCAGTTGCTATCCCTCAACCACAAATTTCTTGTGAAATTTAGCTTCTGCTGCAAACTTGCAGAAAGAGCCCTTCTAAATTAATCCCTACTTCTGTAGAATTCTTGCTTTCCCTTTACTGCACTGACCTCACCATGTGCATCAGGTCGTGCACAAAATGCTGGAGCCCTGAACTTTTTCAGACGATAATAGATATCCTCACAAAAAGATAAAAAAGATAAATTCTACCTGGACTTATGGTAGCCCAATTTGGCCTTAAATTCTGCCTCGGTTTAACTTCCAAATAAGCAACCGAGTTGGAAGGTCATTTAAAAGCAGTTTGTTATTTACTTTATCCCCTGATAAAGTGGGATCTCTCTCTGAAAAAGGAGAGAGAACCTTGATCCCCATGTTACATTCCTTTTTAAAGCTAACACAAGAAAGAAAAACGAAAGAAAGTTGGTTGGACAAGAAAAGAGTAACCCCTCCTTGCACAGTAAACCAACCACAAAGCTTGTTTGAATGTAGAGAACCAGATATTATCTAACAAACTGTTAATAAACTAAGAAACTGTTTCTTATAAGAAGACAGTATCCAGACATCCTTCTGTGAAATTATCTTTTCAGTTTAGGAATGTTAAAAGCTTTCTAATGAGTCCATACAAACATAGGAAACAAGTTTTCCTACATTCCAATCTGTAATGAGTCTGAACATAGAAAATAAGTGAAATTAAAATTCAAAATAACTGTGTTACTTAACGAATTACAAAATCCATGCCATGTGCCCCTCACTTAGGAGGATCTTAATATTCAGAACACATTTCAGTGGAATCCCTGTTACTTCTTAGAAGTTTCTCAGGATTGTGTAAGAGAAAAACAGACTAAGCCACCTTCTGAGTCCTCCAGATGGCCTGAAATTCAATTCCCAGACAGTGAGGTCTTTAAGATTAGTAATTGTATTAGTAACTAGTAATTAGTAAAATGAGATTAGCAATTGCCAGGCACCTGGAGCCTACCAGATTGGGGAAGACTGCTCTGGCACATGGAAGTGTTATGGTTGGCCAGCAGCAGGTGCAGATGGCAGCAGAATCGGACAGTGGGGAAGAACAGGGACCAGTCAGGGAGTCTGGAGAGGACTCGGACAAGGGTTCTGCGTCCAATGCAGGGATGGGGCCAGGACCATCTGGGACTGGGGTGCTGACTCCAGAGCCTCCGGAGCCTCCGGAGTCTGGCAGCAGCAAGGCCAAGGATCCAGGGGATCCTGTTCCCAGTGAACGTGTGCGCAGAGCTGCTAGAAGGCGAGAGGAGCTGAAACAAAAGGGGCGACTTGGGAGTAAGGCTGGGAGGTGATTGCCCCTCCCATCAAATATAAAGGACAGGCAACGATGACGAAACCTTTGCAGGAAGCAAAGTCGTTCGTTCGGTTCAGATTCATTCTTGAAGCTCTTTGTACTTCGTTTGGGGTTTTTTTCCTACTTCATTTGACACCTGTTATTGGCAGCATTTCACAGAAAAGAAAGGTGGGTGCTTATCTCAAGGAACTGTTTGAGATTAATTACAGCTGGGAATGAAAACAATTCCCAACATTGCAATAAAATAAGTCTTGTTTTGAAAATAAGTGTGTGCGTAGTTACGGTCCAGGACAGCGGTTGCCAACTGGTGGGCCGCGAGAAAATTTTGGTGGGCCACAGAGAAATCTCACCCCCAGAGCACCCCCACAAAGCAATTAATCCAGGCTGCACAGAAACACAAGTCTGCACCACCCACAAGTACCGCGGGAACCCTCCCCACCCACTCACTCCTTACCCAGCAAACTTGCCTGCTAAATTGCTAAATTCTTCCTTTTTCCAACCATCATCTGTTCTGCTGTGCCGGGAGATTTAGATTAGCTAGGAAGCAGGAAATGGTTGGATTTCTTGCTTTCTAAGTAGTCTTTAGATCTTCGGCTTAGCACAGCCGAACCTCCCTTAGGACTGAAGGTTTGCTTGCAAGCAAATTCAGTGCAGACTCACGGCAAGCAAATTTGAGAGACTGAGCTAGCCGATGGCAGATAGATAGATCACTGAATGATTCTGTGAGCAACTCAATCTGCCTGCCTGCTCTGCCTGATTTTGGGTAAAAGTTGGTCTTTTTTATAAAACCTTCAATATTTACATGCATGGTGTGTTGCGAGTTAATTTTGTGAGTTTGCTTGCTGGCAAATTTTATGTGACAGACTGAGCTAGCCAATGGCAGATAGATCTCTGAATGAATTGTGATTCTGTGAGCAACTCAATCTGCCTGCCTGCTTTGCCTGATTTTGGGTAAAAGTTGCTCTTTTTTAATAAAAAAAAATCAGTATTTATATAAATATTTATAATATTTACATACAAGACATGCCCAGCCAGTCACATGACCACCAAGCCACACCCACAAATTAGGCCACGCCCACAGAACCGGTTAGTGGTCCCTGGGATCTAAAATTATGAGTTTGGTGGTCCCTGAGGTCCAAAAGGTTGGCGACCCCTGGTCTAGGAAACCTTGGTCAGAACAGGAAGCTCTTTGTACCTTTTCTGATTCCCAATACTCACAAGGGCATCCTTCGAAACTGTAGCAGACCCTGCTTTCCGCGCGCAATCCCGCACAAGGCTTGCCAGCATTGCGCCGTCCAATACACTTCCTGTTTCTCATCTGAGAGGTGGGGATTTCCTCACACTCAATTTCAAAACCGGGACGGCTACAAGGCGCCCAAGGACCCCATTCATCCCAATGACCGTCCACTGTGGGAAATATTTAAAAAAAGATCTGGTCAGTGCAGAAAAGGGTTGAGGGCCAGGGGGCAGTTCTCCAGCCAGATTTTCTGAGAGACAAGAATCTAAGCCCAAAGCCACCCACAGTTTTACAGGAACATCCCCTCCAGAGGTGGTATTCAGCAGGTTCTGACCAGTTCTGGAGAAGCGGTAGCGGAAATTTTGAGTAGTTCAGAGAACTGGCAAATACCACCTCTGACTGGCCCCGCCCCCATCTATTCTCTGCCTCCCAAGACCCAGCTGATTGGCTGGATCTTCTTTTGTTGTCCTGCACAGGAGAACGGAGCTGGAAAGTAGGTTAGTGGGGTAGGGAGGGAATAGGATTTTGCAGTAACCTTCCCCCAGGAATTGGGGAGGGAATGGAGATTTTACAGTATCCGTCTCCTGCCACACCCACCAAGCCACACCACGCCCACCAAGCTACTTACACAGAACCGGTAGTAAAAAAATAATTGAATCCCACCACTGCATCCTTCCCCATATATCTTGGTCCTATCTCTCGCTGTGTACCCAGGAGGGAGAAGGAACAACAGTACCACTCTGCTGAAGACATCTGATGTTGCTAGCTCAGAAGTACTAAGGACTAGGCATAAAATATGGTCCTGACTCAAGAGACCCACCATTAAACCCATCAGTCCTGTTTCACAGTGTTCAGCTTATCCCATCCCTTAGCTCAGGAGTCCCCAAACTTGGCAACTTTAAGACTTGTGGACTTCCACTCCCAGAATTCTGGGAGTGGAAGTCCACAAGTCTTAAAGTTGGCATGTTTGGAGACCTCTGCCTTATTGATCAGAAATCACATCTAATTTAGATTCCAATGTAGTCAACTTGGGTAAAGCTTTCTAGAACAGAACAGTTGCATAACTGGTGGTGGGATGGGGCATCTCAGCTACCTTAGAAGCAACTCTCTGTGTTCAGGTTGTGGATTACTCCCTCAGAGGTTCTTCCTAATTCTTTGACCTTCTTAGTTTTCCCCATTACCTGGGCAGGGCACCTTAACGGTGCAGGGTTGTCTACGCACGTCGTCCCCAAGGCAATTCTTCCCTCCATGCTTTGGTGGAGGGTTGTCACATAGACGCTTCTGCAAGATTTGGCCAACCCCACAGGTCACAGTGCAGGGTTGCATCGGTTTCCAGCCACCCCAGTTGCCATCCCCTGTGGGAGAAAACAGTAGGTAGAGTCAACGGGGAGAAAAGGCAGATCCTCATAACTTCCTGGGCCCCATACTTGTTTAGAGAAATGCCGTAAAAGCATATTACATCTGTCCTGCTCTTAAAAAGTAACTGGGGCTCGCTTTCCTGAAGCTGGCACCTTCCAGATGTCCTGGAGTGCAGCTCTCCTCAAGCCAAATGAAAATGACCAATTAGTATGTTTCAAAATATGAGCAAATCCGAATGGGCCAATGGATCTATTCGCCTGGAACTAGTTGGCCCAAGACCCCAAGGAGCACAGCCTCTGGTCCTCTGCTTTGTTGAGAGGGCTGTCCTATGGCCCCCTATAAAGGGAAAGAGCATCTTCATAGGAGGGCTAAGTTGCCTTCTAGATCCTGCTGGTTGAGGATGGCTGAAAGCGTAGCTTCCTTCTCTTACGTGGACAGTAGGGCAGTCCTGTGCAGCTTTGGGATTCCTCTCTTGCTCCTGGACATGGCTTGCCCAGAGGACTGAGAGAAGGCGCGGGGTTGTTACACAGACGGGATCGTTGTTGATGAGGCTGTCCGGCTGAGCCTTCTATCGAGCAAGTGTGGGAGCAGGGCTGCCAAGGTCCCCAGCTGCCCCAGTTTCCATGAGCTGCATTGAGAAGAAGAACATGTAAGAAGAATGAGAATCAGAAGATGCTGGGTAAAAAAACTTGTGGAAGAGACCAGGGATACAATTCATATCAGTCAAACTTCTTGTTGCTATGTTAGGTTCATTCTCTCTTCTTTCTATCAGGTTTCTTCTTTCTATCAGGTTTCTTCCCCTCTATCTGACTGATCTGATCAAACTGATCTACCACGGAGATTTCCTTTAATTCAGATTTCCCCGGCTGGTTCCTCCCAAAAGGGTTGAACTCATTTTGCAAAATCCTGAGAGCTGAAGTTAGAGGAGTTGAAGTTTAACTACCTTAGTACACACATAACTTTTCTATCTTTTATCTCCCCATTCTCAAAGTCTTTCTTTCTTTCTTTCTTTCTTTCTTTCTTTCTTTCTTTCTTTCT